CTTTTAAATTCTAGAGTCCAGTGGCTCAACTAATACAACTATTTCTATTTTTACAGGTGACAATCCTAGTTCTGGCTATGGTTCAGTTTCAACTGAAACCTTGACAGAAGTTCCCACAGCTACCAGAATAATTTTCCTCCAAAACACGGTATATGGTGAATTATATCACGGGACCCATCTGCGAAGCCACAATTAGAAATGCTCTCAGAAATCTAAGACAAGTACCACACCCAAAAGATTTTCTAGCTATACCATATCTACCTCCATCATTACCTCGAACATTGATAAGTTCCACCACCATTGATGATTTAAAAGATGCCACAAATGGACAGAACATCCAAAATATACCACCGCCTTGCCCAGAGAACATTCATGGATGGCAAACCGGATCTCATCTTAATACAAGACAAACAAAATGTCTAGAACTCGACACCGATATGACTGACCGATTCATCGTCGAATTGAAACAGACAAAAATAAATGAAAAGAAACCCGGACTTCTGTCGGTAAGTCGCATTAACACTTTCCATGTAAGAGCCCATACGAGGTTTCGTATGGCCCCAACAGTGCGCATAATCTGGGAAAGATCAATGCCGAGAAGTTTGGCCAAGAACCAGCTGGTAGAAATGATCCTAATAGATGTTATCTTTGAAAAATAATAGGGTGGTCCTTTTCTTTCTTATTTCGTTATTTGTCTTCATTAAAAGTTGAAAATTTGATTATTTTCTGTATTTTTAGAAATTAAAGTTCTGGAAGAAACAGTCCGAGTCCAAGCAAGATGGAAGTGGAATGGATTCAACTAAAATAAAGAAAGGTAAATATAAACACAAATAATTTACACTTCTTCCATCTAAAATTAAACAAAATAAAATTAACGACTTGGGGTGGGTAATAATTGAATGTTGATCTCGGCAGCCATCTTGTCTCCGTATTCTCGAAACGATCTTAGCTAGGACAATCTTATAAGATCGTTTCGAGAACACGGGGCAAGGTCTAAACAAGAACAACGAGTCAGTACATGATTACTACTGTATCAGACAGATTATCCTGGTTTTTTCCTGGTGGGGTATCAAGTCAGTACCTCTGTTCAGCTGTATCAACGGTATTGTGGAGTAATTATTGTATTTTATTATTTCAGAGAAGAAGAAATCTGGAAGCTGGAAGAGAATATTTTGTTGTGTTTAATTTTCTTCATGTTGATGATTAATAAAAAGTAGATTCTTACCTCAATTTGGAGTTTTGATGTAGTCTGTAGCCAAGAGAAATTCATGGCTATAAATGCGATTATCTCCCATTTCATGCTCCGACTTGCATCCAAGTTGCAGCTTTCTTTGAAAATTCAGTTTTGAAATTTTTTCAATATCCTTCTGGCAAATCAATTCTTATGTGCTAAATGGTGATCGCTAAGGATAGGATCGCCCGTCTTCCAACCACCAACTGTTGTACCAGGGACGATTTGGCCAAGTCCAGAGAGCTGTTTGAATAACACGGCTCGATTTAGATTTGACTAGCTACCTCTGAAGATAAAACGGGGGCTAACAAATGGCTAAAGGTTTAGCTCTACCTTCTAGACTTACGTGTATACCTATTGTACGGCATCGTGTCCAAACCACACCCCCATTCGTCATAACCCATGTAAAAACCCGTATTCTTGATACGATGATTATACGGTTAATGGGGAAACAAAAACTAATTATTGACTTTTGATAAAAATAATTTAATAGAAAATAAAAGAATTAATATTCTTCTCCCTCTCCTTCTTCTCCTTCACCTTCAACAGAATCAACTCCAACTTCTTCATAATCTTTCTCTAGAGCAGCTAAATCTTCTCTAGCTTCAGAGAATTCACCTTCTTCCATACCTTCACCAACATACCAGTGAACGAAAGCTCTCTTAGCATACATCAGATCAAATTTATGATCAAGACGAGCCCAAGCTTCAGCAATAGCAGTCGTGTTACTCAACATACAAACTGCTCTCTGGACCTTGGCTAAATCACCTCCTGGTACAACAGTTGGTGGTTGGTAGTTGATACCGACTTTGAAACCAGTTGGACACCAGTCAACAAATTGGATGGTTCTCTTGGTTTTGATGGTAGCAATAGCAGCATTGACATCCTTGGGAACAACATCACCTCGGTACAACATACAACAAGCCATGTATTTACCATGACGAGGATCACATTTGACCATCTGATTGGCTGGTTCAAAACAAGCGTTGGTGATTTCAGCTACAGAAAGTTGCTCATGGTAGGCTTTCTCGGCAGAGATGACTGGAGCATAGGTAGCAAGAGGGAAATGGATACGTGGGTAAGGTACCAAGTTGGTCTGGAACTCAGTAAGATCAACGTTGAGGGCACCATCAAATCGGAGTGAAGCAGTGATTGAACTGACGATTTGACCAATCAATCGGTTCAAGTTGGTGTAGGTTGGTCTTTCAATATCAAGATTTCGTCGGCAGATATCATAGATAGCCTCGTTATCCACCATGAAAGCACAATCAGAATGTTCCAATGTGGTATGGGTTGTTAGGATAGAGTTGTAGGGTTCTACCACAGCTGTTGATATTTGTGGAGCAGGATAAACAGCAAACTCCAACTTGGATTTCTTGCCGTAATCGACACTCAATCGTTCCATCAACAGGGAAGAGAAACCAGATCCGGTTCCTCCACCAAAGCTGTGGAAGATGAGAAATCCTTGAAGACCGGTACATTGATCAGCCAGCTTCCTGGTTCTGTCAAGAACCAAATCAATGAGTTCTTTACCCACAGTGTAGTGACCTCGGGCATAGTTGTTGGCAGCATCTTCTTTTCCAGTGATGAGTTGTTCAGGATGGAAGAGTTGACGGTAAGTACCAGTTCGGACTTCATCTACAACTGTTGGTTCCAGATCAACAAATACAGCTCTTGGAACATGTTTACCAGCTCCAGTCTCACTGAAGAAAGTGTTGAAGGAATCATCTCCACCTCCAATAGTTTTATCAGAAGGCATCTGACCATCAGGTTGGATACCATGTTCTAAACAGTACAACTCCCAACAGGCATTGCCCATCTGGACACCAGCTTGACCAACATGGATAGAGATACACTCACGCTGAAAAAAAAAGGAAAGGAGATTAAGAATAGAATAAAACTATTGCTCTTGTGCCGGTAGAATATTTACAATTTGTATGGATTCTTTGAATCGCGCTTTAATAACGTATGATTTTGCTGATGAAAAGTCTAACTCATCGTGTAAGGTTCTTCTCGAGACATTTGTTCTAAATATTTGTCTTGGTTCCAGTCTGCATCAAGAAATAAGAACTTACCATTTTGTAGAATTATTTCTGTCAATGGAGAAGGAAAATAAAACTAGTGGAATTGTTGTAGACTGTTACAATGAAACAGTAGAAACTAAATGTTGATATACTGGTTGAGACTGGACTCTTAATTTATACCTTTGTTGGTTACTATAGGCTTAATATCGTTAGCTACGGTACCGATTGGTTACTGTACGGTTAATGTTGTTAGCTACGGTATTGATTGGTTTCTAGAGGTCAATTATGTCAGCTACGGTAGGGGTCGCTTCTTAAAAGGTTTTAGCAACAGATGGGATTGGTTTCTATAGGGTTAATATTGTTAGCTACGGTAATGATTGGTTACAAGAGGGTTAATTATGTCAGCTGCGGTAGGGATCGCTTCTTAAAAGGTTTTAGTAACAGAAGGGATTGGTTTCTATAGGGTTAATGTCGTTAATTATGTTGAGTACGGTAATTAAGGCTCGACTAAGATTAAACAGCTCCGCCAGTGAGGTGAATCCATTTATAGCCACTAACTACTTTTTCTATTTTTGTTTTAACTATGCTCAACAGTTTTCCTAAAACGAATCTTAGGAATAGGATGATTTTAGTGTTCCGCTCAGACCTACGTCAACGGAAAACTTGGTAGAAGAAACGGAAGGTATTATTTAAGTCTATGCCAAGATCTAACCCTGAGCAACTACTAAATAATATAAGAAGTGGAAAGACAATGGCATCAGCTACTGGTATCATTTTAGGGTTGGGTCCGTGGGGGTAAAATAACAACAACAAGATTTAATGTATTTTTTTTATCAAGAAAATGTACACGGTCTAAATTGGTATTCTATTTTACAAAACATTCTAACATTTAGCACTTTTCTGTCTCATTTAATTGAGATTTTCATACAAACATTTAATTTTTACAGTCAATAAGTTTATCATAAAATAATATTCACCTATATAACACAAAGGGAAGAAGACTCTTGTCTTGCTTCAAGTTTTTATACATTGACCCTGGGATTAGTATAGTCTAATGGACTATATTCTTACACTATCTAATTTTTCAAATGAATCATTTTAACTTTTTTGTTTCTTTCTAATTATATTTATAAATATTTTCTAAGTGTACACATTATCAAATAAGCCTCCATATCATATGAATGTAAAACATCCACAATTTCCAAGCCATTGGTATAGTGTATGTTGTATCAGTGCCTGATTAGGCCAATGAAGTCAAATAACGCCATGCAGTATGCAATTAGGCAAATTTTGCATGAACAGCTGCATTATCCTACTCTTTTTTCAGTTCATATCTGCTAATGAATCTTGAAGAAGCACACAGAATTTCTGAAAATCTATTCAGATAACAGCATTAGTCTTTTTCTTTTTCCAACTGTTAAGGGATCTTTAAATAGCCTAGAGAGTGGAGCACCGATAAACCAATGTGCTCAGTCTGTAGCAGACAGAACCTCTGTGAATTTCATTAGGTCAAGTCATAAGTGAGGTGTTTCAGAATTTTAAACTCCCAAAGGTTGTGTACAGGTTGTACTAATGGAGCACGCTGTATCAGTCTGTAATACCCAGAATTCATCAGGGCAACGTTAAGACTGAACTGTTTCAGGATTTCAAATTTTCAAGGAATTTTCACACCTTCGAGCAAATTGAGACTTGCTACAATATCAATCACTAATTAGTTGTATTAATTAATATTAATTAGTCTGTGATTATAATCCAGGATTCATCTTCATTATCCATTCCACTGTCTCTAGTAATAACACCATTTTATAGTGTCTGTAATCATAATATATAACGTACATTGAATATAACACAGTTAAAATACATGGTAGAAAAAATCATAACATCAAAGACTTTGGTCTCAAACATCTTCACAATGCCAAGCTATTACAATCTTTGTCTTATACCTTGACTGCAATAGGCACCTTTCTTGTATTACAGAATGCAGTGGTATGATTGGATTATAAGCCAGTGAATACAGCCAATCAGAGGCCTGGACAGAACGGCTGTAAACATTGTGGCTTAGTCAAAGTGTAAGAAGAAGTTCGTAATAGCTTGACATTGCTGTTTGACACATGAGCTCCACCTGAGTGATGCTGTGGAAAATTAAACGTACTTACCTTGCTATACCTCTAAAAGTTCGTAATTGTTTACGATACTCTTCAATATCTAAAGTATTACTGAATTCTCCAGCACAAGAACAATATTTCTTCATGTTATTATCTTTAATCTATAATAAATATTATGTAATATTGATCAAGGAAAGAACAAATGAAAAAAGCAAAATTTCTTAATCTTTTCACAGATATTGTGGTCTTAAGATATTAAAGTTTGTGTCGAGTTATCTCCCTTGAGAGAGCAGTTGAAATGCCAAGCCTAATCCTCAACACACAGCTTTATAATTAGATAGGTCTACTTGGCTTAGTAATATTGTGGACTTAAAATATCAAGTCTGTGTTAAGTTATCTCCCTTGGAAGAGCAGTTAGGATGGCCTGCCTGATTAAAGATGGCTATCCATTAATATCAGTGTTATCTTGCTCCAGTCATCCTGGCAAAGAAATGAAGAAGCTTATGTTTTTGTGATGAAGGTCCCTGAAATCCTTTCAACTTACCCCTTTACATTTGGAACATTTTAAATCCTGTAAAATATAGGACATAGATTTTCTATTTATAGCTTCTAATAGACTCTGTTCTATTTCACTAATATCATACTCCAGGTGGCACTGTATACACGCCCATGATGATCTGAAATACAAATATTAAAACAGAACCTTAAAATAACATGTTGTTACTCACAGTTTCACGCTATGTGATCTTCAGACAACTGACCTATATTCAGCCTACGTCCCTACTGAAGTTTGACAAGTAGAACTTATTCTCATGTCTACACTTCCAGACGAGTTTGGAACGTTTGTTTAAAGATGTGTGCGTGGGAAAATATAGCCACCAAATACCAATTACAATTAAAAGAGACAAATTAACGTACAAATTATCAACAACTTTCAAATACTAAATAAACTGAATAGAAACCCACGCCTTTTTAAAACATTGAAATATTATCACAAGTCCAAGACAGACATGTCTCATGTTTTCATGTCAATTCTCTCCAGTGGTGGTTTAGGGGTGGGCCATGATGCCATGCCTCCCATCACCTCCCCTTATTATAGAAAAAATGAAAATTTATTTTACTTTCACTGCCAAAATCGCGCTTGATACATTCTCTACCTTCTTTGATTATAAAATTTCCTGACCCCACCGCAATTAGTACTCTCTAAAATCCAAAAGGGAACCGAGGTGCTCAGATGGACCCTGTCCTATAATACCGACTCTGAAAATCTGAAGAACTTACTCAAACAGGATAGAACTTACCCTGGTGAATCTTGACATAGATACGGATCACGACATAGGTCTAGGTCACGAACGTGATTACATGATTTACAAATCACCTGAAATATACACAATAAACTTGTCAATATTATCACAGATTAGATTCGCTCCCCTGCAGCAGTATGAACAGACTTTAATATTATATTTTGACATCATCATATCCTGAAAGTTAGGATGAAAGCTGTTTGAATATGTTAAATATGACTCCATTCCATTAATTATATTTTAGTATAAGGGTGTATTGAGACGAGTCACAATGAAAGCACTGGCCTAGGTCACAGAGCAATAGATAAGTCTATTGATTATGTGAAAATTAATTAGTCATTAGTATGATTTTAGTTGAAAAGAAACACACAAACATACACTGATATATAATATACTGTATATTGCTCTGTATAGTGCTAGGGGTTAAAACCAACACCAGACTGACTCTCTGAAGCACTAACCAAGGCATCAGAAATGGTATTTGGTATTTATTAACGTTGATTAAAGACTTACCTCTGGTAAAATGTAAGATAAACAAGGATCTTGGTACTGAGATTCAGATGAAAACTCTCCAACACAAATCAACTTTAATAAATCTCTCTTTAATTTATTAACTTGTATAGTTACGTTACTATCTAATGATAAAACCTACAATAGAATATAACATCTTTACTTCATTCAGATAATTCCTCTTCATTAGCTCAACAAGGTACAGAAAAGTAGGATGTAAAACTCCATTTATGTCTGAATTAAGAGAACAGCTAAGCTTTAGTTTATTTCATTAAAAAGTTTCATATCACGTCAATGCAGTGTCATATTGTGGTCTGGATCAGTTCCTTTTCAACAAGAGTTATTTCCCTTCTAGGTAGACATAGTTGCTTGCCCCTGTTGTCATGTGAAATTTTGTGTACAATAAAACTAAGGAGTAGTATACCATAAAATTATGTTCCGTTATTTAGTTCACTTTAGAAGCATTGCTAATATCCTACCTTACAAACACACTTGACGAATTCTAAAGCCGGATTATTTAATGGTAGATGGGAGCCTGGTAGTTGAGGAAACTTTTCAATATCACCATGGTTACTACGATTACCCGATAATTTCTTCTGAACTTTTTGAGTTAATCTGAAAAATAATAATACTCCATTATTTCTACTCTATGTTGATTTCTGAATTTACAAAAATTGCCATAATTTCTTAATTGAAGCTCAATACCGCCATTATAGAATTTGAGGCACGCTCAAAAATCTAATATAACCTTCATGAGAGATGGGTAAGCTTGCATACAATTTGCAATCAAAAATCTAATTTAACCCCACAGATACTTACGCGAACATTTGTTGAGCGAGTTCTCCCTGGACTAAGTTTTGAGAGAAGGTGATTGTTGAAGGTGTAGCAGACGTATCTATGACAACTGGTGTTTGACTAGAATCAAATCTATTATGTAGCGGAGTATTGCCTGGTGTAAATCTGCGTTGTTCTTCTAACATCTGATTATATACAGATAATATATACCCTGCTATCAACATCTACAATAATACACAAATACATGTCATAGAACAGCAAGTTTTATATTTTATATTTATTAATTTGGACGGATGATTAATTCAGAGTTTAATCAAAGAACTTTGCAAGAAATGTAAGAGAAAGTTAAGAGCTCAAAATAAGAGTGGGATATGCAAGGGCTTAAATCAGGAGGAGTTTAACAATAAGCAAAACCTTCACTTATACGAGCTTAATAGGATAGCTTAACTTATTTAGGAGTTTAATATACAAGAGCTGAAATGATCGAGGAAAGCTTAACTTATCAGGTTTTAACATACCAGAGCTTAACTTGTATTCTTGAGCTTAATTTACAAGTGCGTTACTTCCAAGAGCTTTGAATTTATTAGAACTTCGCTTACAAGAGTTTGCTTTGAGATTGAACTTTGGAGCACTTAACTTATAAGGGTTAAATAAGCAAGATATCCAGAGCTTAACTTACATTGAAATTTGTTTGACAAGCTCCTGATTCTGGTAAAAATAACATCATATTCCAGTTCATTTCCACTTCAGGCTGAAAACAAACATCAGATATATTAATAATTCAGGCTCTCCACCTATTTCTCAAGGGAGATAACTCTTAATATATACTTCAGACCACAATATGTGGCTGGTAAACAAGCTCTAGAGTTTAAAGGGTTAATGTCTATATTGCCTATTACATACAAATCCCTTAACAATATTAAAACATACCTCATCCTCGGAATCTGATTTATTCAATTCCTCCTCCTGTTCAGCGACTATTTCTTCTCCATCACTGTCACCATCATCTTTCTTATCATCATTATTATTATTATTATTGTTATTCTGAGTGAGTTTCCCTCGAACACCCCCATAATTAGCCTTCAATAAAACATATCTGATCATACATTGTGCTCAGGACAAAAGGTTTTGGAGTTTTGCACCCTACCAATGGGGATAAACCTTTTAAGTGTATCAAGATTAGCAACTAAATGGGGCATTAAAGGGATTGTAAAGAGGTTTTCTAAACTTCTAATGTGTAATAGGGACACTGATAACATCAATTTGCACCATACGAATTTCAATCTGGCACTCAAAAGCTAGCGATCGAACACTGGAATCTGTTTAGAACTCTCCAACCGAGCGCTACCTAGATGAAAATAAAACAGACAACATACCTGATCAAGCCACATGAGAAGTTCCCAGCACTGTTCATAAGACATATCAATAAGATGGAAGAGTTCTCGTGATTTAATACTGTTAGTGATATACTCTACGTACGACAGGGCGTCTACGAGTTGTCGTTTCTTCGTACATAATATAAGTCTGTTAAAATTACCATACACAATCTCAGATCCTAGCCTTTTAAATTCAGCTATTAACTACAAGTTAAAATAATATTTCAAATAAATTAAAATTTGATCCATTACTTAATATCAATAAAATTTGTATTATCTAATCTCCTTGTTTAGCAACAATTTGATTGGATTGTACACTACCCAATACAGCCAATCAGAGACCTTGACAATAAGACTGTAAACAATTTGGCAGCAAGTTTAATCAGGGGTTATGATTGGCTGTATCGCTTTCGTACATTTCAATAAAATCATTGCATTTAAGAAACTGGCTATTGCAGTCAAGGTATTAGACACAGTTTGTAATAATAGCGTGATATTGTGAAGATCATCTCAGACAGGCAAAAAGATTATTTCTGTATTGAAAAGATCACAAACTCACCTGCATAAAGACTTTTTTCATCATATTATGTAAAGTTCTACGTAAAGCTGGGTCATATAGTAGAGAAGATGGCGATCTTAACCATCTGAAAAATTAAAATGTTGTTATTCACATAAATTTCTTACAGGAGGCCCATGGCCACACCCAGAAAAGAGGTTGACCCTTCTTTGTCCCCTCCCACTGTCACATTTTTTTATCATTTTATATATTGGCAATGAAAGAATTGCCCGTGGCCCGCCTGGAAAATTTTGTGGCTAATGCTCGGCCACCTTCACCTAATGTTTCCTAGAAACACCACCAAATCTCTCCCCCACAAAACTATGGTCAATAAATTTACCTGTAGAAATGTATAATTTGATTATCAGCGAAGACGTTAGAGTATGTAGTAACGTCACGGACCCAACCATGAACCATAGTTTTTAATATTCTAAACGTCGTAGAACATAGAGCCGTTTCATCATAACTCGTCAACATGGTGGCAGCACCTTGCCCTTGTACCATGTCCTCCAACGATGATTGTGGCATAGTATCGAAACTTATCGCGGCACTGGCACCTTCCTGATCATTCACATGACCTGACTGAAATAAAGATCAAGGTTTAAAATTTTAAGGATGTGGGGCAAGTTTTAAAGACTTAAGGATTTGCCAGCCAAATTATAAATCTTAGAAATAGTTCAGGTCACTAGTACTAAGTCAGAAAACATAGCTGTTTTTTTATTGAATTATTGCTGTAGACAGCATCAATACTGTAAAATTGCAAAAATGATAAAAGAAAAGAACTTTTTAATGGGCTAATGAAGGTGAGCAATGCCATGCAGTGAGCCATGAGGGAAATTTTTGGCCTTCTTATGTCCGCTGCTGTGAACTGCATAACTGAAGAAACTGAGTTGAAAATTTTGAAGGTTTTTCCAGCCTCAGAATTGAACAATTTGGGTTTTTTCTTTCGCGCTTCAAAATTTGACGATACAAAATGATGGTCTCCAACCTCAAATTTTTCGTCAACAAGGGGTGCACATTATATATGAGTAAATGGATTATTACAGATTTTGATGGGGTAAGGAAAGGGTGAGCATTATACACGCTTGTGCATTATATTTGGAAATATAGGGTATTGATTTCAGTCTCCTACCTCAATAATGGTATTAACAGCTAAACTAGTAATATCTAACTCTACACAAACTGTAGGGTAATGTCCTGGATTGTTTAATTCTATTGGTGTACTACCTTGTAACTCCATACATAATCTACATAAATACAAATAATATTACTTGATCTAAGACAGGAAGAATGTTTCCTGAGAGATCCTGAAAATATGCTCATGACCCAGAAAACTTTCAACTAAAAGGAGTAAGGTATGTGATATAATCAATCAATATTATCGTGTCTGCGAAATGTCAACATGTACAAATCATTTGCAGGGACAAGACTTTTCCAGACTTTCTGGAGGGTCAGAAGATAAGAAATATATAAATTACTGGGGGGTAAGAAGAGGTGGGTACTATAATCATAATCATACAGTACCTATTGTCGTCTGCTTCTTTCCCACCTAAATCAGGTCTCTCAGTCGGCGAACACCATAATAAATGATTGTGTTTATACAGATGTCGAGCAAAGAATAGATCACACCCATATAAGGTAATGTCTTTTGGCATATTACCAATTGGTATATGTAGGTAGCGGCATTGTTCCATCATTGCCTGAAAATATCAACATATTCCAAGAATGAAAATCTCAAGAAACTGACCAATATGAGTGCCACTTGGACGTTTGGACAGAATTTGTTCAAATGTAAGAAAGTTTATACTTGTTTTTAGAATCAGAACAGATTCTACTAAAAGATCTCAGCTTGATTATTAATATATATATTACCTGAAGTATAATATCTACGTTTAAATAATGTTGAAATAATCTTCTACATCCGACTCTCTGCCAATCTAATACATTATATAAATTATCACTGAAAATAACACATAATAACATTATTGTCTCAAAATATATACACCAGGGGGCCTGAAGAAATGTTAAGATGTTTTTAGTGTTCCAGTCATCTGATTGGTCAATTGAGCATGTCCACAAAATAGAGCCCTGGTTTTACAGGATCTTATTATTATTCTAGCTGTAATATAGGATGTAGGTGTATTAATGAGATTTTTGTTCAAATGAGTAAATACAACACCTATAGATTTAAAAATATAACGAACCTATCAGCTATATGTATTGGTACTAGAGGAAAATCAGTTAGTCCTGGTATTACAGATACAAGATGAGCAAAATCTACAAAACATAAACAGAACTTTAAGAGAAACAGACTAGGGATTAGTGTGAATAAATAGGCTAATGAACGAGAAAATGTCAAGCCGTGTGGATTTAGAAAAAATTTGCCAGGAATGTGCCGAGGCCTTGGTTTATTGTCCCCAGCCAATCCAAACTGTTTGTCTGGCAGGGAAATCTCAACCTATAACTGATTCACACCCTGGCATCCAAACAAACAAGTATCTAAAATATATACTATTAATTAAATAATCCAAAAGCCCAAAATGAACCCACCTAATGATGATTGTACAGCTATAAATGTTGGACCACGTTTCTCATCTTTATAAGCTGATAACATTCTCTGTATGGTTCGATAAACTTGTCTGATATCTTTCTCTAGTTTATACTCAAAAGTATGTCCTGCTGGTGGGAGACTGTCTTCATCTGCTCCCTTAGTTACTCTGGAGTTAAAAACAATAGGATTTATAAGTTTTACATCCTACTCTTCTCCACCTTATTGCGCTTTTGAAGATGGAAATGCCATGCAGTGTGCAATGAGGAAATTTTGCTAGACAGCTGATTAAGCCTTCTCTTTTTGATTTCCAACTGTTGAGGGATATTTAACACGCACAGTCTGTAGAACACGGGGCCTCAGTTTAATATCTAAATGACTAGACATTTTTCCATGTCAGCCCTTCCAACCTGCATCACTGAAAAATCTGAAAGTATTTGTTAACTCAATAAAGAGTTCATCCTGATGAATTGAAATATGGACCAGATTAAACTTTTTGATTGCTGATTAAATGAAGACTTACTTGTTATTTCTTTCAGCGTTGTATAAAGCTGTTATATTAGGCATCTGATCACTTCGTACAGTATCAACTACAAACACTGTACCTTTCTTAGACATCGGTAAAAACAATCCATATAACTGTTTAGTTCCACTGAAAAATACACAAAAATAATCCTTGTTAATACTGAATATTAATCTAAGATATGAGACTCGAAACGCAATAAAAATAATGGCTATTACTCGATGTAATGTTATTAGGCACTCAGAAAGAATCAACTATATTTTACAAGGATAACAACGTAGGTCCTTGAGGAATCCTGTCTACCAGCTTTTCCTAGCATTGATTTTTTCCAAATTCCATACCTATTAACAGCTGGGTTGACTGGAATAATGAGGAAAGATCAATATTAGAATACATGACTGATGGATGACGATATAAAGGTGAAATTCTGTCTGTGTGAAGGATCTCAGGTTGACACACTCTATCTAAGAGTGAAACCAGGTGTTCCATTAATAAATTAACCAAATCAGTAAAAACTAACTCACCAAGCATGATGGTAGAAATACAGATGTTTAATAGAACCAGTTTCAAGATATGGAAACTGAGCTAATGTTCTAAAATCTAAATTATCCATTTCAAATGTATCTGTCTCCTGAATTAAAAATATATCACTATTAAAAAATTCACAAAAACCAAAATTTACAGAATAGGTGATTTTTCAAAGATTTGAAAATCGGTTTGCTTGAATCTGAGGCCATTTCAGACAGCATTCTTGCTGACGACGTACAAAGAAACCAAAAATATTAGTGCTTTTTTAGGATTTCTCCGAACATTTTTTAAAGCAAAATTTTAGAAAATTACGATGCTTACCCTTCCTGACATCTGCCTCGCGAACTCTCTATTTACCGTGACAACACATCCTAGCTGTATCAAGGCACGGAACTCTAATGGTACCTGTGTTTCATAAACACCTTCTATATCAGGTGATGAGAGATCAGCATTTATATCACTATAAAAAAAAAATATACAGTGACTTTCGGCTACACCGGAAATTACAGTTGATTTTTAAAAGAATTGTAAAGAGGTTTTCTAAATTTTTTATGTGTATCTGGGACACTGATATCATCAATTTGAACCATTTCAATTTTCAATCAGACCTCTGTGGTTCCAGAAATTCCACTAAAACTAAGCATTTAATGACATTTATCGGAAACTTTTACAATAGTGACGTCATAGTTGCCAATACGGTTAAGCATTTCTAAAATTGCAGGAACCACAGACATCTGAAAGAGTGAAATGATGCAAATAGAAGGCATATATTGCTTAAATACACATAAATATATTTAGAAAAACCACTTTACAAATCCTTCAAGAGTATTAATCTGCACGATACTTCAAATGGTCTTTAATGAGTTCAATCAACAGATTGAATTACTGTGTTTTAATGTGACTTACTTGATATGTTGTAAATAAACATCTTCAGGAACAGAATACTGATATAGATTAAAGACTGGATGAGATCTGGGTAACGTCTTTATACTCTTCTTCCAGACTGAAATAATAATCACATACATAGAGCAATTCAAATTAAAAAGAAATGATTCAATGTTAGTTGATACAGCTGTTCGTTGATAGTGTTGTCTACTATTTGGTGGGTTTTTTTTTCAATGTCACAGATGTTTGCTTAATGTGCCAAGTAGGCTATTTTCAATTTGGGAGAACATATAACCTTCCCCGTAGAATACTTTCAAATCAACAGCCTAATTATTTATGATTTCAGATTTGAAAAAATAATTTTATGTAACAAGTTGTACTTACGTTCCCCCTCTCCTTGTTTCGGTGTTTTTTGATTGACGTAAAATATTCTAGGTACAACCAGTTTCATGGCGTGTAAATCTGATCCTATCAGAGCCCATAGTTTAAACTGACCGGGATTGGAAGTCTCTGCTAACTAGAATCAAACACATCATAGACAATTAATATTAAAATTTCCTCAGCATGTTTAATAACATTTAGCAGTGGATATATTGGATATATCATTGGTGGTGAGGAATTAGATTTTTTTTCTAGATTACAAAGATATCTGACCAGTTAGTTTTATCCTAATTGCAATCACCTTCCGACCTCTGATTGAAAATGATGTAAATTGATGCTATCAGTGTCCTAGATACACATACAAAATTAAAAAACATCTTTACAATCCCTTTAACAAGAACCACAGACGCCTGATTCAAAATTGGAATGGTGCAAATCAATGCTATCAGTGCCCCAATACACTTAAAAATTTATAAAACCTCTTTCCAATCCATTTAAAAATCAAAAACTACCTGTACAATTTGCCAAGGCATGTCCATCATACTTCTAGCTGTCTTTCGTAAAAATCCTCCCAGGCCTCTAGCTGGTGTGGTGGACATTGACGTAGAAATATCTAACTCTGTCCTCTGTCGTTTTCTATCTTGTTTTTCTTTAGCTTGAAGTTCCCATTTTTTTTTATGATATTCAACCCAAATTTTACGTTCTTCCTGTGAAGAAAATAATATAAAATTTTAAAAATTACAATATTGTGGTCTTAAAATATCAAGTCTGTATTAAAAGTTATCTCCCTTAGGTGGGAGTTGAAGAGCCTGATTCAATAATTTCATTGAGTGTGCTTTTTTATTTAAATCAAAAATATCCTGGAGGGGGGCAATGTGCACCACAGAATAGTATCTGCTGCAAGCGTTTGCAACTGAGCAATATTAGCTTTAGAAATAGACCGTAGAAAAACCAACCTTTGTTTTGCCCATGGGGGGTGGTGGACCGAGAGCTTCTCGCCAGTTCTGTGATTGCTGAGTGTTCTGGGTACTATCTGTTAAATCCATACTATCATTGCCAGACTGGATACGTTTCCGTTTGTGAGATATAGCCATTCCGTTTTTATTTCCATTGTGCCCTTTATTGCCGATATCTTCTATGTCCTTGACACCATTCTGAGATGATGGAATCGCACCTTGGGAATCTTCATCCTATCAAACATAAATAGAAAATAAGAGTTTTACACCCTACCTTTCTTTTTCGTCACCTTGGGCAATTGAAGATAAGCAACACCATGCAGTGAGCAATGAAGGACATCTTCATTACACGAGCCTGCAGTCTTTTAATTTATTGGGCAATAAGAAATGTGCTTCTCAATTAAGGGCTGTTGATTTGACTGATGTTTGCCAGTTGTGTCCAAATTTACTCCAAAATGTTATGCAGAAAAAGTTATCAAAAGTAGACATATTAAGTGTATCTTTAAAACTTTTCTCCCAAAAGTCACAATAAATCTGGATAAATGTACAAATGTCTGACTGAGAATATATCTCCTTGAAGATACTAATATCTTGTTCGATACCCCTCATGATTACCGTGTTCACAGTGAAAATATCGTGAATACTAATACATACCAGGTCTTGTACAGGTCTAGCAGACACAGAAAACATTTCACTGATCTTCTTCTGTTTAAATACATCATTTCTTTCAAGCAATTTCTTTCTCAACCAATCAGGATGAGGTATTCTGGGTACAGGATTGGGTACTGACTGTAACGCGGCTGGTATGGTAATAATTTTCTGTATAGTTCCACCTAATCTTTCAATGTAATACTGCCAGTCCAATATCTCCCGAATGTCAAAATCATTTAAATCCTGCCTTTTCAACCACTTTCGTAAATAATGTCTTTTAATACTTGGCTCTGCTTGAAATATAGCCAATGGTATTGCTCTCTCTGTAACAGGTGCCCCTTCTGGTTTCTTAGAAATAACGTAACGACAACTCAGACCGGCGTCTTTTACCATCTGATCACCGAGGAATTCAGCCAATCTTTTAGCAGTGCTGATAGAAGTTGATTTCTGGCTTCCATATTCCTCTAATTTCTTAGACATGCTTCTGTTTTCCGCGATAAGTTCGAATAACTCAGAATCTGGCATATTGGCAGCTTTACTGTACAACACATCCAGCCAGTAATCAGCTATCTTAGCCACAGCTTCGTAACACTCTTCTAACGTCTTTCCTTTTAAAAACGCCTCGAACACCGAGGACTGGAAAATTTTAATGAGTTGTAACTCTCCACGTCGTTTAACTTCGAATCCTTTCAACTCAGCCAAACTTCCATCGAAATTAAACACGGCATAACGTTTCTTCAGTTTCTTCCCTTCTTCTTTAGATGCCGGTAGGATCATGGCTAAATATGGTCCATCTACTTCAAAGAATATAGAGTTCTCACTGCGTACAGAATATTTCATGGCTACTGGATCTTCAAGCTCCTGATATTGATCATTGGTAAAAACATCCTGCAAGATATGAAGAATAGAATGTATCTACAACTTCTTAAGGGGTGCTGGCTAGAGTAAAATGATGTGAATGGAGTTATACCTCCTACTTTTCTGCACCTGATTGGGCTAATGAAGACAGACAACATCATGCAGTGTCCAATAGGGAAAATTTTGCTATGACAGCAGCATTAGTCTCTCTTTTGGTTTTCAATTGTCGAGGGTTCTTTAACTTGCACACTGCACAGTCTGTAGCGCATGAGGCCAGTGGTTTATTTATCTGAACAAAACTATATACTTTTTCCATGCAGCCCTTCTAACCTGCACCATTGGCATTCCCATCAAGATGATTTATACAATTTTACGTAGTCAAGGACAATAACTCCTGCAATGACCACCTTACCTTGACCATGATATTTAACATAGCACCAGGATAAGAAATAGTGACTTTCGATTTTTTTGGATTAGTTGATTTTACCACGTAATTCTCTGGAAAGGTTGCTGGCAATATACACCATATACCATCTGTATCTAACTCTAATGGACGACTGAAACATCAAATGAAAAGAAATGAATGGAGTTTTACGTCCTACTTTTCTGCACCATGTGGGCTAATGAAGACGGGCAATGCCATGCAGGGTACACTGAAGGAAATTTTGCCAAGACAGGGGGAAACCGGGTTGAAAAATCTGAAAGCATCATCTTGACCTGTGCCGGGATTGAACCCTGAACCTTCAGGTTAGCGAGCAAGCATCTAACTCACTGAGCCATCACAAAATTATGAAGAAATATAATATATAATTAGTGTGAAAATAATTGTTGAATGACAGACTTCTCTAAAAAAAAGCTCAACCATTCCATCTAAGGAACTGATAGGAGCTACTGTTACCTTGGCAATGATTGGACAAAATCTTAAATACCCTACAGTAACATCATTGAGGTTTGTAGTTGTCATTGCTAAATACAATAAGTCACACCAAATCACACGGACTGTGAGAGCAAGTGTAGCGATAAACGTACATAACAGAGTTTTCTCGTCTGCTCTCCCAAGGGAGATAGCTCTTAACACAAACTTAATATTTTCAGACCACAATAATAAAATATGACATTACCCAATTTGTTCGACTATTTCTCTAGCTCTACAGATGATATTAGCTCCAGTATAACAGACAATTCCAGCCATTTCCATACTGTACCATCTTGCACTACAAAATACAAATAACTCATGTCAGAACTTAAATGTCAATCATCATTTAAACCACACCCCTCTCTCAATATATAGATGGGACGTGGTTCACTTTATACAAAGAGTTTGTCTGTGGTGGTGAATTTGGAATCAAACAAGAAGGGTAAGGAGTAATAATGTTTCATTCATCAGGTACAACAATGACCATGCTGATTGGCTGTTTTGAAAATCATGTGATGTCATAAATATGCATTATCTCTGTCCCTTAAGGGTTTACCTGCTAAAGTGAAACATGGTAGACATACGTAATAAATTTATTGTATTTAAAGATGCTTACCCCTTTCTCATGACGTAACCGTAAAATGAGTTCAGAATACATTTATGGGCTAACTGTAAGGAATCATACAAGACAACCATTCCATTAGCTTTTTTAATCTCTGCTGCGTCTTTCTTTTTCTCAGCGTCTGATAGTTTCCCCTTCCACACCTTCGTTAATCCTTTAAATTCGTAACGTCTATCACGGAAAGCACGGACCGTGTCCACGTAGAACGAGTTCTCTCGTTGACAGACAGTAGCTACTCTTTCTTCCATACGCGTTGATTTTGTCTTTTTGTAAGCTTTACGACAGTAATCTGAAAAGACCAACCAAAAAAATTGAAGAAAAATTGATTTTTAAAAACTACAAGGTAGCAAGTTGCAGTTCTGTAAATCAAAACATAAATTCACAGTGAAAAAGAGAACTTGATTGGCACTAACTTCCTTTACATGAGAAAGTGTTTAAGGATGTCAAGGTATTAGACATTATGATGATGAACACTAACCTGCAAGACGTTTTTTCTCGATAGTGGCCTGTTCCTCTCGGTTCAACTGATGAAAAGCTCGCTGTTCACCTCCAGGGAAAAATGGCGGAAACTTCTCATTTTCTAGTTGTTGTTGTATTCTGTGGAATTCATTTCTGGAGGCTGGCACTGGAATAAATATTTATAAGAATTTAGAATATTCTCAGATATATATTATATATGGCACTTAAATACAACTCAAATTGATGTCTGTGGTTTCTGCAACTCTACTAAAACTAATCGCAAAATATGCTTGTATCAAATAAAACCCAAAGCGATTATTGATATAACCAAAAAATTAAGAAAACCAATTTACCCTCACTTTAATATACTTACTGAATTCTCCCCGCCACATCCAAGATAAGTCTCGTTGACATTTGGCACCAGGTTTATTAAAATCACAGGCAGCACATGTTGCTTCATCTACAATAGCAGGAGGCTGAAATATCCAGAATCAAATTAGGACTTTTATGTTCAACATGTCTGCTCCTTATTGGGCCACTGAGGACTTTACAAGACCATGCAGTGTGCAATGAGGGAACGAGAAACCTGGTTGAAAATCCTCCATTAATATCCAGACCATTGTCAGGAGCTGATTCCAGACCCGAAGGCCACCAACCATTTCTCATGCCCAGCTTCACGAAAAGATACAATTCAGTAACATCAAGTTATGCACCTGTATTAGCTGCTTTCAATTTGAGTCAAATCTCAACTAAGTATGAAAAAAGGACTCTCAGGTAAACAACCCAATGTACATACCTGTAATCTATTGGTTAGAATAATATTAGGATACATAGCCCCGACATCTAAATGATATATAATAGGATTCTCTAAACGATTCGGACAATCTCGTAACATCGCCAACTTCTCTTTTACATCATCACAAATCTAAAACAGAAATACCTAGGTTGTCTGAAGATTGCATAGCTTGATACTCTTAGTAACAACATGTTTCAGGTTCTGTTTTAGTTGTCTGAAGATCTCATAGTGTAAAACGCTGAGTAAGTCTGTTTTTTAAGGTTCTGGTTTTTTAGGTTAAGTTAAGTAAACCTAAAAATACTGATAAATAAAGGATCTAAAACGACTTTATGAAATGAGTCGCCAGATTTAATAGACTTGGCGAAACTGTACCTCCTGAAAATTTGTGACTTGATCAATAGGTATCTTCTCCTCTACTTCGATACAGAATTTCATGGTCCTGTCGACATTGTCTATCAATGTTTGAAATGCTTCTGGTACCTTTAATAATACAAAAAATTAGTTAAAGCCTGTGCCAGTGCTTTCTAGAGTCGGCCCAGTGTCCCCTCTCACCCCCTTATACCTAACTTTCAGCAAACCTTAGAAAATCCAAAGCATGCAAAAGATCCTGTCTACCAGCTTGTCTTTTGTCAAACCTTTAGGTACTGATCTATCCAGGATTATCTGCATCCAGTTGGGTTGACTACAAAAACAACTGAGGATCCTTTCTACCAGTTAGTCCTCTGTCAAACCTATTAGCATTGATATTTCCTGGATTTCCTGTACATACTAACAGCTGGGTCGACTGGAACAATAAGGATCCTTTCTACCAGCTGGTCCTGACCAAATCTCTTGGCATGGATCTTTTGCGGATTATCTGTACACATTTACAGCTGGGTCAACTATTATGCTAAGAAAATCCCAGCCCACAAACACTTTCCTTACCATTCTGAACCTGGTAGGAACATCAGCTCTGTAAACACCAGACTCTATAGCCTCCACATGACCACCAACGTATGTCTCGCTATCAAGGACATGACCATCATCAGTTAAACGATTTAATATAGACTCTTGTTTATTAGGAAATACGATATTGGCATGATAAGCTTGTACCATCAATAACGCTTCACATAGAGTACCAGATCCCTTTCTTAATACCTTAATAGGGTAGAAAAATTAAATAAAATTAAAACATGTTAAAAGTCAAACCTGCTCACGTGAATCTGACAACTTCTCAAAAGATAAAAGTTCACAACTTAACAATATTTTGACCAAGCATATGCTTTGTGTGTTTGTGTATTTTGGGATATCTAATGCTGAGATTTGACAGTAGGCCTCAGAATTTGGTGGATAGGAAAATGGAGACCCGAGAATTCATTATTTCAGAGAAATTGTACTATACCTCATCTGGTTGCATAGGTATAATAGTACACAAGGCAAATATAAACGGGTGTACATATTTCATATAGAGATAGTACGTAGCTACAGCATCAGATACTGAATAATTAGCCATCACCTAGACAAAATATAAATATACTTGTTCAATATTCTATTGGCAAGCCACTTGAAAGACGAAGGGAATGAGTGGAATCATACTACATGCTGTCTGCAATGAAGAAAGTTATATTTTTAGATGAGGGACATAACTCATTTTCATTTCAGATCCAAAGAGTCTTTTAGAGATCGTTGATTTAATAAAAACAATCTAAGCATTCATCAAAAAACAAAGGGGAATAACTCTAATTATAAGAACTTACCTGTGGCTGTTCACTAGCCAATCGACACATTTCTTCAGGATCTAATTCAACTGGGTCATAACGTAATTTAGCCTAAAAATACATTATTATCATTATCAAAAGAACCGAAATTTGTATACTTACAATAATAAACCAAGTACAAAATGACAGATTGTTAACGTCTTATCAAAAATTCAAAATAAAGCACTTCACCAGTTTGACAAGCCATTTATAAGGTATAATTATGTCCAACTTTAGACAAGAAGGTAAGAATGCTCAAGAACTATAATAATTTTTACCTTGGCAACAGCCTTTAAATTTTGACTACCAACTGGTAAATAACTGTCTCTTTTTACCCATCTATAAATATACAGATAATGAAAAAAAATATGAGTATTAAAGAATGAAATGAATGGAGTTTTACATCCTACTTTTCTGCTCCTAATGGGCTAATGAAGACCTGCCAAGGAGAAACCAGGTTGAAAAATATTTTTAACATTTTTGACACCTTTTCTGAATTTTTTCATGCATTCATGATGAAAATTTGTACAATATCTGAATTTACAGGCCATGTTTTCTCAAAACAATCTTAGCGCTAAGATGTCCTAGAAACAGTGTAAGAACTTAGACTCTAGGACATCCTAGTGCTGTGATCGTTTCAAGAATACACAGTCAGGTTAAATTGTCCGGTAAGGAACTTCTCAAATCAGCAACCCTGGTGAAAAGTAACCTACTTGAAACAATCCATGTGGATACTGGTTCGTGATTTATATTCGCCTTGAGTATCCTTAGTTACTCCGATTTCTCTTTCTAAATCAATCCCATGAAACCCAGCTCTCGCTTCTACGAACGGCCAGTCGAAAAAATCACCGTTATATGTGACATAAATATGTGGCTTCACTTCTAATATATGATCTATAAATCTCTGAATGGTTGCTATCTATAATAACAAACACAGAAAATATCTTTAATTAAAAACGCCATGCAGTGTACAATGAGGGAAATTTGGCTATGACTAGTACAGCGGCATAATATCTGCAATTGTCAAATTGTCTTTAACGTGCACAGGCGAAGGAAGGAGGAATTAGGGATTGAACTGCAGTTTCCTATTTATACAATACATAATGTTAGATATTGATGAGAAGATGGTCTCATAAAAGCACTGGTCTAGGTGAAATAATGTTTATCAACATAATACATTAATCAGTTAAGAGAATAACCAACAGATGAAATTTGTTGAATTTCTAGTTGAGGCAATCTATATTGATAGGATTCATACCTCATCAGGTTCATTAAAGATTATAAATGGTCCTTCAAATTCTGGTCTCGGTGTATATTCAAAATCTTCTACATCTTGAGAGATTATTTCACGATTACAGATTAAATAACCCTGTAAATATAATACATTAATTATAACTTATTATTAACACAAAATACTCAATGTAGAGATATGATTCCTGAAACATTTCTTTTATAGCATATTAAAGGAATTGTAAAGAGGTTTTTTAAATTGTTTATATGTATCGTGGACACTGATAGCATCGATTTGCACCATTCTAATTTTCAGTTAGACGTCTGTGGTTCTTTTGATTTTTTAGTGTTGTAGATATAGCAAAGGCCCTTAGATAACTCTTGCAATTGTGACATCATTTACCATTTCTATAATTACAGGAACTGCAGAAGGAAAATTGGAACGAAAGAAAAGACAAAAAATTCTTAAAATCTAGCTTGATTGTCAAGAATTTGATTAAGAATATGGCATGCACCCACCTGTCCATCGATCATGTAAGAAATCATCATAATTTGATCAGTGGCAGAATCAGGAAATTTCAATGGTAATTTAGTTGTTTCTATATCATAAGCTAATACTACAGGGTCCTGAAAGTAGCAAGTCATTTCATTATATAATTTAGTGATAAACATTACATAGAAAAAAAGAAAGAGGCTACTATTCTTTACAAAAATAACAACTTTCACAGTTAACAGTTGAGGACCCTTTCTACCAGCTGATCCTTGGCCAAACCTAGATCATCTGTATCCATTTACAGCTGGGTTGATTGGAATTTCACCAGACTTTCACCCTGGCAGAGATTAGAACCCACAACTACCATACTTTGACATAACCAAGCAACTGACGCCATGTAGAGATTCAAATGATTTAACAAAATGGCTACATATCTTCTGTTGAAAAAAGCAGGAATTTATCAAACAAGCTCCATTTGATTCAGAATAATGTGCTAAACCATTATATAAAAGTTTAATTCTTACTGGTCTATCTACGAGATCATCTCTACGTGTTATTTCTGGTGGCTCACTACCTCGCCCTCGTATTGTATACCAATGTCCTACAAAGATCTCTTTATCTATAGATACTCGTACGTGATACGGCACATCATATTCTCTGTAATTAAATAAAATATGTTAATTAGTCATTGGAAAGAAAATCTTTATTGTAGTATCTATCAATCAGTCAGAATACACATTTTGTTCGCGTTTGGGAGGGAAGAAATTTGTTGGCTGGTGGGGTCATCAAACAGAATGTTCAATAGGCCCGTCTTAAGACCCAAACTGAAGTGACTTCCAGTATATTAAAAATAAAAGCTAATAAAAAAAAAGAACAGAAATTTGGTAAAGTTGGAAAACTTTTGGCCCAAATACTAGTAGTATTTGGTCACATTAGCAAATGGAGCAAGGTATCCAAGGTACAAATTAAAAGTCAAAATGTTTTCAACCTACCTAATGTCCATCATATTTTCCATCTGATCAGAGAGTTTCTTAGATACTGAATTCTCTTCACCAGTTAAATGGCTGAAATAGATAGAGAAAGAAAATCAATAATTCATACCTGAAAAAAATATGCATTTCGGAGACTAAGATACGATTGGTCAAATGAATGATGAACCTGTCTCTTTAAAAACAATGACCAGAATATCAAATTACCTGGTCAACATGCTAGTATAGGCATCATTCGCCTTTTCTCTTTCTTTATTCTTCTTAATGGCAGAAAAAACTTCACGTTTCACTTTATTTAACTCTTCTACACTGAGAAACGACAACTTCAACATTTTACGTTTTAAACCAACTAGATGGTTAGCCTGAAAATAAAATGACAGACGTACCAATTTATAAACAGCTAAGTAGCATCATGATGTCAAATTTAGTAGTACCCTATTCTATCTTGGACTACAAATGTATGAACAACCTTGTAAAGGTGGCAATAAGACGATGTACAGTGTCCGGTGCAGGATTATCGATACAGTAGAAAATAGAAGAAGTGAACACACAAGAAACAGGTCTGGACACTGACCGTACACTGTACACCGTACCCAACACCGTATTTCCGCAATTTTTTTGACAATCCATCTGAAAATGGCAAGGGATAATCTGGGCAAGATTTATGTCAAGGACAAATTCGAAACTTAAGACTTGACTTTTTTGCTATTTTGTGGCTTGTATATACTCCCTCCCCCATTACTGTGATCTACTCACCAAATCTAAGTCTTCCTTCGTTACACTTTCAATGGCTGAGATCTTCCCTGAGAATTTTCTGGTCAAGAAGGAGGCTACCTCTCTTTCGCAATCTTTTTTAGTAATGACATAGAAGTAGGGTTTAAATGGCAATGTAGCCTGGAATGAAGTAAATTTATTTTCATACATCATATCATTTATACCAGTGTTTTTAAAAGGGCAGGGTTCACATTTCCATTATCAAAAAATATAATATACCTGAAAGGTTCTCTAAAATATTATATTTACCTAATGTATCTACTTGTTTAAACTGAATTTGTTTTAAAAGGGTTAATTAAAAACAGAGTGTACTAATTGTTAAGTAAGCAAGTTAAAACTAGTTAAAACTTATATGATTAAGTTTTGGAAGACTTACCTTAAAACGGCCACCATCTTCTTGTAAGAAATAATAATCAACAGCTGAGATTAATCTTTTATTACCATCCAAGATGTCCGTCTAGTAAAAAAAAACAATTAAAAATGTTATTATCAAAATGGTTAAGGTTACACGTCTGTCTGCCTTGGTTCCTTATCAAAATGGTATTATGATGTTTCACACCTCTGGAAGTGCTAAACAGGAATCTTATGGTTAATCATAAAGAAAAGAAATTTTCCTGAAGAATTTTAGAAATCTGAAATTCTATGGGCTTTGAAAAAAAAAAATATGATTTCTCCAATAAAAATTGTTTCTTCTAATAAGATCTTTTACTGGTTTAAACAAGCATACTAGCATAGTGATAAAAAATATTTATTGAAACTTACTGGATGCATATTGATAAGCCATCCGGTGATCTCTTGAGGGTCCTTGTAACGTTCATAACCAAACCTTAGGTCTATCTCATCATTCTGATTCGCTTTCTGTAGTCGTTTTTCTGTTGAATCTTCTCTCCTAGAATATATAACAAATATTTTTTTTTCCATTGTAGACAATTTGAGTAGAGTAGGAATAAAGATATTGCATAGGCAATTTTATTCTTCAGTTTATTTTGTTGGGAAATTTAATCTAACTGAACAGGCCTACTGTAAGTAAGTCAGAATAGGCCTTTCAAAACTTGACAGATCCCCTTGTGTAGTGGGCATCAAAAATAATTTGAGTGATCTATGACTGGATAATTATAGATAAAAAACTGACTTGAGTCAGTGAATGACTGAAGTGACAAATACAAAATTCTTCTTTGATTTCGATTTCAGAAAAGAAAATTTACCCAGATGATTCTGTTTTTTCTTCACCATCAGCCTTGTACTTGCCACTGTTCTGTAAAACCATTTTGGACACTTTCTGAAGGTTTAATCAATTACATAACTAAAATAAGAAGTTGTTTACTTTTTTTAATAATAATCCACCAAAGTTGGTGCTTATCTTCCGCGCCAAATATTACTTCCCCTTATCTATAAATAGACGTTTTTCATATTTTTGGACTGAAAAATACCGATGCGAAATAGTATTAACTAGATGACAGAATTAGCTTTAGATAAATTTCATACTAAAGTCCACAGGCATATTTGAAAACTTAATGTATAGTTTGATTTCATCAAAAAGAAACTCAAAATTATGATTTGTAATATGATCGTTTCATAAAAGTAATACGCAAATCATGAATTTTAAGAAATCAAAATGTCAGCCTCCATGAATATGTTGATTTCAAGACTTTCAAGGTTGTTTTTACTGTTTTAGTGAATTCACTCCATCTTTGCACATCTAATGATACAGAGTTATGTTTCAAAAACTTTCATTAGATATTTCCAACATGTCGTTTCATTTACTTGAGACATTTCTTTGTATTTCTATGACTATTTATTCTTGAGCTTGAGTATTTATGATTTTTATGATGTGCACGCTCTCTATAACTGGCACGAACAGCAACAGTGCCACAATAACTACAGTGAAAATAAGATCTATCTCTAATATTATTTGTTATTTTCCAGGGTTTCCTTGAACTCAATGGTTCAGCGCCACAGTTTTCACACCCAGAACTCTCCATTATTATTCAAATTTTCTGAGCCATTGTGGTAAACTTTTTCTTATTATGTTAGTTGTAAGGTAGATGACAAGTTAAAGCCCACTTTCAGCTTACTGATATCACAGACTAGGTAGTTGTTGGTAGATGACAAGTTAACGTCCGCTTCCAGCTAACTGATATCACAGACTAGGTGGTTGTTGGTAGATGACAAGTTAACGTCCCTTTCAGTTATCTGATATCACAGACTAGGTCATTAGTATTTGGTAATTGAAAGAAAATGATGTCACAAGGTCCTGACTCTTTAATAGACTGAGCTACAGCCTGTTCTCAAAGTCAACTTGTGTCTTCTTTACTTTGATAAGTAACATATAGTCAATTTGGCACCTAACCAAAATAACTCAAAATTTGATCAAATTGATTCTTTGAAAACTACGAAGAAAAAAATGTCTTAAGGTTTCAACACTTTAATAGACTGAGCTACAGATTTTCCTCATTGTAACTGTGTATTTTCAGTGCTGAACCATTGAAAAAGAAGAGAAAATCAGATCCTGGTTCTGCCAAAAGGAAATCTGATAAATTAAAGAAGAAATTTGATAAAGAATTAAGACGAATTGATAAAAGAGGAAATCCTTTGAAACCAATTGATGAATTTGAAGAATGGCGCAGAATGAGCAAAATGCAAAGGTAGCATTTCAGAATTGAAAAAAGTCACCTGTTTTTCTGAAACATCCGTCTCCACTACAGTCTCTCATTGATATATAGACAGTTGTCGGCTGGAGTAGAGTCAGAAAATATAGGCCCTGTTAAATGGGGACTTTCCACACCTGCGGAAATGCAGAAAGTCCATATTTAATGGGGCCTATTTTATCTTTCCCTACACCAGCCGACATCTGTCCAAGTAGCTATCAGAGGTTAGAATAAAGACAATTGTTTTGGTGTACAGTTTAGTAAGCAGACTTTTATACATGTATGTTAATCTAACCAATATTAAATTACAATTTTCTTCGGCATTCCTGTTCTATTGATCTTATTTTTCACCAATCAAAACATCTCTTGAAGACCCTGTTTCTTGATAAAATTATGTATTGTGGGAAAGCGAAACTCAAAATTGAGCAATATGACAATTTCTTTAGGTTCTGCTATTCCACAATTCATTATCAATTTCAAAAAACTTTTGCATTTTCATTGGACAAGAGAAAGATTTACCTGTCGTTTAACGTTAATGGTATATTGAATATTCTCTGTTGTTTTTTTTTAGTACCAGAAAACGAGGAAGATCAGAATTGAGTCAAGAGGATTTTGAGGAACGAGTTGTCATTATGAAAACTTGGGGCAGGTTTAAAACCCATCAAAATGGAAAAGATAGCAAAGTATTGCATAAGTTATTGTTGTCACAAGAAAAGGCTTTAGAAGAGTTACGTAATGAGTCAGAGGAACTTTATCAGAAAGCCATCGAGGTACGAATGAGGTCATCATCCCACCTTATTAATATATAGAAAAGAAAAACAGTTATATTTTACAAGGATAACAACTTAGGTTCACAGTTAAGGATCCTTTCTACCAGCTGGTTCTTGATCAAACCTCTTGACATTGATCTTTCCCAGATTATCCGTACCCATTTACAGCTGAGTGAAGATGACATCACTTGTGCATTACCCTCAGTATTTTATGAGAGTCTTGTTTTATTTAGGGTTGTACGTCTCATCCAACCATTGACCCATCTGCCTCTCAACCACACTGCTTATCAATAGATAATTGATTGTGGATCACTTTATCCAAATAGCATTATATGAGAATTTTAACCAATCAAGTCAACATTTTTCATAAAAGGAATTGCCTGTACTCATATAGCACGAAAACTTTATAATCTCGTTAGTAAGAACTTTATGGTAGCTGTCAGTCAAAATGTCACATGATTGAGACATTCTTAATGAATAAGTATCCACTGTTTGAAATTTAACCAATGCTGATTGGATGAAAAATTGGATTAAATTCTAAACTTTGAAATCTATCTAGATTTTGTCATGCTTTGGATGAGATTTTTGGATTATGGAATTGTTTTGCCAGTAAGTATTGTTTCCGTTTTCAGGTAGATGAGAATTTATGTGGATTAGTATTAAAAGGACCGTATCAAACGCCACCGATTCCTGATTATATATCGCCAGATGGAGAATATGTAGATATCACTAGAACAGATTTTGATTCACCATGGACAGACCCAACCAAACAACAAATAATTACTAATGCTAAACAAAATTAATATACTTCTAAATTGTGGCCATTTAAGGCATTGATTATGTGACGATATATTGAACTAGAAAAGAAAATGTTCTGTGACGAAGTGTTTCCAAGATTTTAGTTAGTTATGTCTTGGTGCTCTCGTCGTGTTTGTAAGATTAAAGCTATTACTATCTTCGTACATTTCATCAGTAATACTTATTACTGATTTTGGAAGAATTGGAATAACCAATACTATTAACCTTAAAATGACTGCATTGATAAGAATCAAGTGTTAATTACAAGTTTCTCTTAGGAAACCTTTCCAATGCCCAGAGGTAACGAATACAGCATCAGAGATAGGTGTAGGAACCCCAAATATTTTATCTGGATGTCATGCCTTTGTTTTAAGATGTATTTGGAGGACTGTGTACTAGATACTTGTAATATATACTGAAATAAAATGTAAGATTAATTGGTATCTTTCATATTCGATAAGACCATATCCTACCACCCTATTCAATATTTTCGAGACTTTTTCAAACAAAAATAAGCCTGCAGCTGGATTGTATATTGTTTATGTGTTTATGTAGGCAATATCAAGGTAATGAAGCATATACATCAATGACCTAGCCTCTCTAATGTCATCTCGGCATGTCTGCAATAAATTAAACTCATTATGCAAAATCTTAAATGTCAGTCAGAAGCACCCCAAGAGATTTGTCATATATAAGATATTTAATGTGGATCTTTCTGAGATTACAGTTGAGTAGACTGGAATAACGAAGGAAAGAAAGTTAACTTATTCAATACCCATTTATGGCTAGGTCATCTGGAATAATGAGGACAGATGAAAGATGACATATCACTGACACATCATAGTTAGTTTGACATATCCAGGCAAATGATGTCATGTAATTATTCCAATGATCTAAACAACTTGGCTACAGCCTGTTCTAAGTACTATCTGAAAAAAAAATGAGCATTTAAACCAATTATTTTCTACTCAATAATTCATGGGCCAACTCAAATGTGAGCATTATTTAGTCTTTAGCTCATTTATTAATACAAATTGATCTGCACAAGTTTCATTTTCAGAAACAAGGGACATTACTCTGTTTCTTATAATTGCAAAGTGCTCACATTTGAGTTTGTTCTTTATTTTAATAATGCAAATATGCAAAATTTCATTAATGTAAATTTCCAAGCAAATCAATCAAAAATAATTCCTTAATTGATAACTGTTAATTAATTAATTGAAATAAATTTTGTGAATATTCCACCAACATTTTATCAACTTAGAAGTTTGGGAAAAAGAAATATAATAATTATAATGGATAGATACATAGTATTAATTAATTAATCATTGATTATCATCAATTAGGCTGATTGGACTTTATCATTAAGAGGATTATTAGGATTATGTGTTCATGGAAGAGGGATTGTTTGTCCAGCTTCATTAAACCAGGAATCGTGATTAATTCATGTTTCCCAGTGTCCATGAATATTTCTGTTTTTGTTCAAAGGATGATTGCAATCTTCACAAAACAGGAGATGTGAATAATTCATGCCCCCCTCCCAACTTCCCCCCTCAAAAAATTCTGACCACCGACCAATTCCATTTCTGCGACTAAAAACGTGCCCCTCCAGATTTATTACTTGCCTCTTCCAGATATATTACTTGCCCCTCAGGATATATTACTTGCCCCTCAGGATATATTATTTATTCCTCCAGATTTATTACTTGCCCCTTCTGGATATATTACTTGCCCCTGTCAATATATTGCTTGCCCCTCGGAAATATATTACTTGCCCCTCAGGATATATTACTTGCCCCTTCTGGATATATTACTTACCCCTCCGAACAATCAAGTCTGGCTGTAAGTGTACCCAATACACATACAAAAACTTGAAAACTCCTTGACAATCCTATAACTCATTGACAGTGCTTATGAGAAGCCACAGGGGTTCAGTACCCAAATCTTGTCTTGAAAAAAACAAGTCTTAAAAACTGATCTTTTATTTAAGAATCTAAACAGAAAGAACAATGATGGTTTTAACAGAAATTATAATTATGTTAATTACGAAACTTCATTGTGTACAATCAAACATATCGCTGCATTTACAAACTACCATGATAAAAGAAAAGTGACTACTGCAGTCAAGGTATAGATGAAGTTTGTAATAGCTTGACATTGTGAAGATGAAGTTTGTAATAGCTTGACATTGTGAAGATGAAGTTCGTTATAGCTTGACATTGTGAAGATGAAGTTTGTTATAGCTTGACATTGTGAAGATGAAGTTTGTTATAGCTTGACATTGTGAAGATGTAGTTTGTTATAGCTTGACATTGTGAAGATGAAGTTTGTTATAGCTTGACATTGTGAAGATGAAGTTAGTAATAGCTTGACATTGTGAAGATGAAGTTTGTTATAGCTTGACATTGTGAAGATGAAGTTTGTTATAGCTTGACATTGTGAAGATGAAGTTTGTTATAGCTTGACATTGTGAAGATGTAGTTTGTTATAGTTTGACATTGTGAAGATGAAGTTTGTTATAGCTTGACATTGTGAAGATGAAGTTTGTTATAGCTTGACATTGTGAAGATGTAGTTTGTTATAGCTTGACATTGTGAAGATGTAGTTTGTAATAGCTTGACATTGTGAAGATGTTATATGATATATGAGAAGATGAATCTAATAAGAATTGTCTGATAAAAATAACAAAATCATTTAAGATCGTTAAATAAAACATAAATACATGAATTCTTCAGAACAACTTCAAAATGTTATGTTCTATTTTTAAAAATCACCGTGTATTTTATTTAGATTAAAAATTTGTCAAGATTAAAAGTAATTCGTAAGATCGTGAATATAGCGATTTAAATCACTGAAAATAGATGAGGTTTTAACAATAAACACAAATATCTGTGTACAAGCATCTGTGGACATTTCTTAACAGAAACAACACCGATTTCAACATTTTCATGTTTTAATGTAGATGTGCGATAATATCAGGTAAGTCTTGTCTTAACAATGAAAGAAATTTTGTATGTTTTAAATTGAGCCCCCAAGATGAATTAATATCATGATTTGACGGAAGTTCTCTCAGTTAAACCTTGTCTTAACAACAAAACAAATTGTTTATCCTTTGAATCATCCTAGATGTGGGAAAATACTTTGCTTGACTCTATAAGATTTAAGATTTATTAAAATATAGACAAAAACATCCATAATTGATTAAAAATGAACGATAACAAATGGCACTTTATATATTACAAAATATGGGAAAATAGCACTTAATGATATCACTGTTTATTCATAAAACAACTTCTACATGAAACTCTGACTCTATGATTTTTAGGTCTTTGGACTACGAGTATGAATTTCCATTATAACATATTAACCTTAACATTCATGAACATTACTTTAACCCTGTGTCAGTGCCTTCTGTTGGATAGTAACTTGTTATCTTTCAACCGCCCTAATCTCTATATGACAGATGATTAGAAAGGGAAATTTAGCAATTTAGTATCAGAAAAAAAAACAGCTCCCTTTCATGATAAATTTTCATTTTGTTTCTGGTGTGTGCATCTGCGCTTACAGACAAACTCTCAAATCAAAGTAAAAATTACGTATCCATTACAACATTGAAAGCTTGAAACTACTTTCATTTTATTTGTGTATTGCTTGACCCCTTGATCACATGATATTCAAATTGACCTGGGTCAGAGTTTCTCAAACTAGTTTCAGACATACATAAGACTGTGTTCATAATGTTAGACTGTTAAAATATAATATCTCTTGAGGTAACTATAACTATGACTCTGGTTCCTGTTCCTTTAAATATTGGAGATTAACATACGAGTGTAAACATCATAAAGTTCTAATTAAAATATTATTAATTTGCTCAAAACCCCACTTCATACAATATAAACACTGTCTTATATCAATTAAAAACATTAAACAAACAAACAAACAAACATATAAACAAACAAACAAACAAACAAACAACAAACAAACAAACAAACATATAACAAGGCATATAGAATATAACAATTGATTTAGATTCTGCCTGAATCTTATGAAAGTTGTGGACTTAGATCATTTCATATATGTTAAGTTTGTTTGCTCTCGATAAAATAGAGGCATAGGAAAAAGAAAGTTGGTAACGAATTAAATTAACAATCTCCTTGCCCTGAATCAGTTCCTGGAACTAAAATATAAAGGAATCAAAGAGATATACCTGGCAACTGACCCTAGTCATAAAAAAACAACTGTTCAATTTGTGCCCTTCCAGCACCCCGCAGTACCCACATACCCCCTAGTATGAAAATTTACAATAGAGTTACTATCAAACAAATTGTTAGAGCTGAAATAATGAATAAAAGCCCAATAATTTGTCAATTTGTCACTTCTGGATTGATTTTAATTTCCAGTACATATCAATTTATCAAAGGTATATAATTAGTTCATATTTTAGAATAAGAATTGTGGTGTCATTTTGATCTATATGAAGATCAGGGTAATATATATCAAATTTAACAATATACGTAAATAAAGTCACAATTAACACTGATCCTTATTTTCAAATTAAGCAGAATCTAAAACAACTTAACAGTTATTATGCCTTTAATATGATAGAGGGGTGCAACTATACTCTTGATAAAGTAATGACCTTCCTTTGACAAAAAACTCACTTGAAAATTTCCAGCCAAGATAAATAAAGATCAGAAGATCTCTTGTGAAAGAAGATCTAATATTTAACTAGGTCAGAGAAGAAAGCATAAACTTGTTTTCATCCACAAGATTAAACTTGTAAAGCAAATTGATAACACCAGTTAATTTATGTAAATTTATGCAAATTTATGCACTATAATAACTGGAGGGGAAATTTCCAAACAAACTGATATGATCAATGAAGTTTTATTGGTACAGGGAGTTAACAGGTGACACTGAAAGCTTTGGTAGACAAATTAAAATCTTTAAAACTTAGGGTGATCTCAGGGTGTTATAAAAAAATTGAGCTCCCTTGCATGTTAATGATTTCATCTTGTCTTTAATGGTACTCGAAAGTTTGTATAATTATCAATTAAACGATTAAAAACTCTCAAGGGATAAAAATGAGATACTATATTCTCCTGAGCACAACAAAATATTTAAAAAAAATAAAATTTAACAGAGAAAAACCTCAACATATATTAATAAGATTCATAGTTGCAGCCCTTTTAACATACATGAAATGGAGATATAGATTGAGCATTTGAGAAAATCACATCTGAATTGTAGTTCAATACTGCATTCAAGGTATAGCTTCATCTAGATTTTATAATTGTGCTATTTGGAAAGACTTTGATGTAAGGAAAGGAACATTTCTTTCAAGTCAAGTCAATGGCGCTTGCTTTGAGAGATCTGTTTTATTGGATTTACAGGAACCACAGACATCCAATAAGGGAATGAAATTAGAGCAATTTGAAGCTATACGTGTCCCTAATATACATACAAGAGCTAGAAACCTTTTTAAGAATCTTTACAGTAACAGTAACTATAAGAGTACGAACAGAACAAGTCAAAGCCTCATTTGATGAAGCTATACCTTTAAGGTACATACTCCTCTTATTTATGGAAAGAATGTCAGTTGACAATTAGAGGAATGGGTACCTTCATACCATAATGAATAATAATATATACTATTTTTACATCCAATATAAGGCTTAATATATCATAACATTAATATAGAGGGAAATAGAACTTTAACTTGTGCCTTTATCATTTAATATATACAATAATAGTCGTGCAGAAATAGTCATGCACATCCAGGCCAGTTCAAAACACAAACAGGACCAGTCCATTTTATTTGTAGGTAGAATAAATAGTAATAGAAACTATATAGAATAAACTTATATTGTGTTAATTACTGCAAAAACTACCTCAAAATAAACATATCTAGTCCATTTGATTTTGATGTAGTTTAAGTAATTATCAACACAATATAAGTATGTATAGTGTCTATTACTATTTATTCTACCTAACATAAAAGTGGATTGTTCATGTTCAAGTTAAGATTTGGACCGATATGAGCAGAAATATCGTTGTTGACTATACAAAGATCTATTTCCCTAACCCATAACAAAACTATACAATTTTAACAAAGATCAAGTAACATTAATAAATAAAGTGTTCGAAAACAAAGTGGTTCTATATTAAATAACCCTCAAAATTCCACGATTGGCTCATTACATTGCTGTTGATGCATTCGGTTTTTTTTCTGTAGGAAATCAAATTTGCTTGCATTCTTTAGGAGTTAGTAAAGAAATTTGACCAATGAAAAATATCATCTCGCAAGCAACAACTTGTAAATTTTGAGACAACTCTTTTCATTGGTTAAAATATCTTCACGATCTTGCAAGGAATCCAATCAAACTCGTTGACCAGTTTATGGATTTCGACGATGATTTTTTAAGCAGTTTCATTAAAGAATTAAATAGTTTTTGTACAAAAGACGTTTTCCACCTCAAAACCAAGCCATATTTGACATTTTTTGTGCTATATCAAGACCAAGCTTTTCTCTCCAGTTTCTAAAAGAATTTTTTTTGTGATTTAATCATCTTAATATTTGCATTTGCTGCAGCGTTTAACAAAAACAACAACAATATCATGAAATTTATTCGTGAGTAGACAGTATCATTAAGACTCAAAACCTTGAAAATAAAAAGTTCAATAAGCCAATATACTGACAGACTCTATCATCAAGTCACACTTTGCTTGTGCACAGTGCACAGATAGGAGAAGTCTGGGTATCAGAGGCTCTTATATTGAACTCTAATGCACTAGAAATATGTTATCAAGTGTTTATATTTCAAACTTAATACTTCAATTAGGTAATGGACAAGATTCAAAATAAAAATTTCTAACTCTTTTCACTTAAAATTGATTCGATCAAAAATAAATAATAATTTTTCTACATAAGTAACCTACATTTTTGATAGTTGAAAGAGTGCTTTCATAGATTGTTTCAGAAATAAGAATGTTAAAAGGTTAAATTCTTTTTTAAAGTAAGTGATCATTATTATTTCAGGTTTTGATGAAGGTTCATTTTGAAATAGCACTATCAATGTTGGTGTAAATATACCAGGTTTTGGTGAAGGTTCATTTTGAAATAGCACTATCAATGTTGGTGTAAATTTACCAGGTTTTGAAGAAGGTTCATTTTGAAATAGCACTATCAATGTTGGTGTAAATTTACCAGGTTTTGAAGAAGGTTCATTTTGAAATAGCACTATCAATGTTGGTGTAAATTTACCAGGTTTTGAAGAAGGTTAATTTTGAAGTAGCACTATCAATGTTGGTGTAAATTTACCAGGTTTTGAAGAAGGTTCATTTTGAAATAGCACTATCAATGTTGGTGTAAATTTACCAGGTTTTGGTAAGGTTAACTTTAAAATAACACTTAGTTTTGCATATGGCACTTTTTTTAAATAGCACTATCACATAACACAGAATATTCGGCGAGCAGTGGACTCTAAAACTGAGTAAATAGTACAACAGTGAAACTGGCTCAGAAGAGGATTATATGGATCACATCCAGAAGTGAGCTTCAGCAGAAATGAGCTTCAGATACAGAAGTAGTTGAAGGAAAGGAGTCAGGCTAACGCGTTATATAAAATATCTTACGATTAATTTTGTTGTTAAAATGATATCTCTCCAAATTACAATCATATCCTACAAACACTACATTACGGACATTTCAGATTCCACTATCAGAGCTTCCAAGAGTGTCGGCTGCAACCTTGTATCACAAGATATAGCTCAGATGCTAGATGTTTAGATTCCTTGAGTTTTAATCTTTCTAATGCAGTGGTTTCCAGCCTTTCTTAACAATCACCTGGACCTTTCACACCCCCAAAAATCTATTTCATCCACATTTCCAGCATGTGATGATGTGAGGTGCTCTCTCAAAATAAATTCTTCTTCTACACCAGTTGGCCACACCCTTGACACCCCCCAGGGGTAAAGACATGAGGTCATGGGAACCCGGGTTATAATGGTAGAAAAATCGCGTGCTTCCAAGAGTCGGCCCTGTGCCATCTTTCAACCTCTATCACTAGGATTAGCTAAGTCTGTAGGAGTTGGATTTTCGTTTGCTAGACGATTAAATGCTGTGGATTTGAATTCCTTTTATCAAAGTTAGAAAAATTCTGATGCCACATCCTGTGTTTTAGAGAGTCAGTTCTGCGTCTGCTTTCCACTGAACTCTACACTGAAAATTATCTATATCACTTTCACAGTTGTGCTTATTTTTCTGTAGTCAAATACCTTCATTAAAATTTTATAAATTCACTAATAATGGCGAATACTTGTCCTAAAAACCTACATCACAGTCGGGCATTCTGGGGATTTTAACAGACAAGAGTGTCAAAGACAGTCAAATCAAGAGCCCTGGTGAATGACTCCATAACATCTCTTAGTATATCAATAAATTCACTTTTTTTCTAGACATTAAATTATTCCAATTTGAATCACTTGTGAAGGCACCGGTAAAAACTTTAAAATCTTCATAAATGCATTCAGAATTTCCGAATTACGCAAAAACTGAAAGTCACAAAATTAGACACCGCAATGATCACAACCACTTATAAACATATATATTATATATATATAGGAATAATTATTCTGAGGTTAAAGTTCACACCTGAAGGCCATTGTTAAGGTCAAGGACATGGTAGGTCGAATATTTCTATTAATAGCGGTTCGACATCTTCCACTCTCATTTTTAATAACATTTTAGTGTGGACATCATTAATGTTCCTTAAATCTGTCAGCTTCATCACTACTTGAGCAAATAAAGTTTTTTCTTCCGGAAAGCGGCTTTGAATATATTTCTGCAGAATTTCTGCATATTCCTCCTGAATTTTTTGAACGAAGCCACTATCTACTAAATCGCCACGATCAGTAGAAAATATCGCCATGACAATGAGTATTTTTAACATTAACAGGTCACCACGAATCGTAGACATCAAGGATTTAATGAATTTAGAATATGATTTAAACATCTCCATGGTTTCACGTCCACCACATTTCAAAATATCGGCACTTATTCTATTGGAATCATCTGATGTAGATTCTTGCGGGAATGACATTCCACTTGACATCGTGTCGTTAGCCAAACTTGACATTCCATCCGGTAACTGCATACCATCTGGGAAGGACATGCCATTAGATAAAGACAAGCCCTCGGGAAGTGAGGTCATGCCACTGGGCGGTGAGGTCATGCCGCTAGGAGGCGAGGTCATGCCACTGGGTAACGACAATCCCTCAGGAAGGGAATTCCCACCAGGCATTGACATTCCTCTTTTGAAAGCTGCTATTTTATCCATCAAAGATTGGTCTCCTGACATCGAACGTCCTTCAGGCATTGAAGACATGTTTTTGAAAGCTGCAATTTTTTCCATGAGTGACTGTTTGCCGCCTTTATCTTGTAGACATGACATTGTGCTTAAACTCCAACTTTCCGTGGAGGGGTCATAGTTGACAGCAGACCTCAGCATCATAACATCCACGACGGCTCCTTTCAACAGACATATTTGGTCATCTTTACATAACTTTTTAAAATTGACGATATGTTTTGTGACTTTGATAATCCTCCGCACGAACCCTTCCGCAATATTAGCGAACTCGGTGGGGTTTGAGGGAAGTTTATCGAGCATTGTGGTTGTACAGGATAAGAACGCACTGGCTTCATGAGCTGCGATCAACTCGTTCAGAAGTTGCCGATGGTGATCTGATAACGATTCAACGGCAGCTCTGACAGCTTCCTGAGATTCCGACCAAGGTACAAATTTTGGACTGTCTGGTTTTTCCCGTGTAAAAGCACATTGTGAGTCTGATTTTTCCTGTTTGATGGCTGCAGTGTGTGGTAAAGAATTGGAACTTGAACTGTCAGTTTCTTCTTTCCCTCGAGAAATGACCTCATCAAACACAAATTGATCTTCGGGCAATACATGACCTTGACGGCGTAATTTATTAAAAATTATTTTCTGTTTCCGCACTTTCTTTTGATCATCACCTGAAAAAATGAAATTTGAGAGAGTTCCAATTATTGTTCTCATCCACTGATTGGTTGATCACTAAATCAATTTAGTTTTGTTAACCAATCACATTACAGTATTTCTTAAAATTGGGATTTTGAATTTTGATGAAAATGATCAGCTATAAAATTTAAGAAATTAAAGGGGGAATATGCCCCAGCATAAAAAAACAAGAATGTTTGAAATATTATATCTCTCTTTGGACAACTGAGCCTGTTATGAAAAGCAATTAGCCTCAGAGTTAATTAAACCCCGTTTTAACCCAGTTTTCGAGGTCAAATATGAATTTAACTCAGTGTTAAATTTTAAGTATACGTGCCCAGAATTATCAATTTCTGTAAATAAACCATAAATTTAGTTTTAACTCTACTACGAGACTATGATATAAATAATTCAAAATACACCAAGAAACTCGCGTGGAATAATTTTACTTACTTAATATCATGTCTTTTCTCATTCCAACTGAAAAACATTTGGCTTGTCGACATCTTTTACAGAACGATCTTGATTCTATCGTAATATCACACTTCCCTTCACATCTCCCTCTTATAGTCTACAAAATATTCATCAAATATTTCAAAATATATTACAACAAATCATTAATACATCACACAAACAAACATTTTGAATTCAAAATATGAAAAAATAAATCAAACTAAACACAATCATATAAAAAATTAAATTCCAAAAAATGTAACAAACATTCAAAATTATAAACCTGTTTTACACAAGTTTGATGTTTTTTTTATAGTTTTCATTAATATCATTTATATAAGTGTTTCAAGCTTCTTTTTTGACAGAATAAGTGAAGTTTCAGACTATTGTTATGAAGACATTATTTATGTTAGAAGGTGATGAGAACTTAGTCTCATGGGCACTGGCCTCGTTTATGTGTTATTACGTTTTTTTATGTTATTTTAAGTTGTAAACAGAACATGCTATATCTTCTTTCATCTGTACAGAGATCATGTCAGAGTTAAACATCAGGCTTTGTTATCTCCCTGTTTTCAGAGTCAAACATATTTTCGTGTTTTCAGGGTCAAACTTCAGGCTTTGTTATTTTCATGTTTTCAGGGTCAAATATGGCGATTGTTTTGTTTCCTGTTTTGTTTGTAATCAAATATTAAATATTGTAAGAGTTGTATTTGCTTACAAAGCAAAACATATTTATCAAATTAAACTCCCAGTAACATTATAAAAACAACATGATCAATGGAATGAACAAGGTATAAATCTAATTGATATGTTCTGTCATGTGAAAAGAAAACTTCAATGTCTGGCACAGTTAATTGATTATAAGTTTTCATAAAAATAGTCACAGAATTACTGTTATAGGTTATTCCTTCTTGATTTATTTGGTCAACTTACCATCCCTTTTTTTAAAGAGATTGTAAAGAGGTTTTCTAAATTTTGTGTGTTTATCAGGGACTCTGATAGCATCAATTTGCACCATTCCATTTTTAAATCAGACGTCTGTGGTTGCTGCAATTCAACAAAAAATAAGTGTTTGACTTCATCAAACAATTAGTTTTCATGGTATTGCAGGAACCACAGATATCTGAATGAAAATTAGAATGTTACAAATTGATGATATTCCAAAATTCCAGATGATTATAAAAAATCTAGAAAACCTCTTTACAATCTTTGTCAGAAATTGTATTTGAAATTATTTCTATTAATGATGTTGACCTTCTGATTTGAACAGTCTACCTCGCAGTGGAATATTGATTGTGAAATTTCAACAGTTTACATTCATTAATGACAAGATTGTTGAAAAAACGATAAAATACAAAGGAAACTTACAATTGGTTTTTTAAGAATGGTATAACCTCTTTGAGAGTCAGAAATGGTTATAGAAATTAAGGCCTATACCCACTACCCAGTTTGCAATACAAAAGGCCTTTGTAAAGTGAACCAAAGACGCCCTGCGTTTACTGAACTCCACATGAGGTTGAAACACTAAGCAATAATAACTACGTGCGTCTTCAAAATGGCATGAAAAACTGATGAGAGTGTGACAGTAATACACACAGAACATCTCCTGTCAGGTTTTTGGCATTTCATACAGAGTTGACATCTCTGGTGTTTTCAATGTGACACTTAATTGGAACGATAACTAAGAAATCCTATTGGAATTTTTAAAGCGTTTACATGACGAAATTATCACAGCGAAAAAAGCTGTATTCGGTGAAATGAAATGAAATGAAATGAATGGAGTTTTACATCCTACTTTTCTGCACCATGTGGGTTAATGAAGACAGGCAACGCCATGCAGGGTGCAATGAGGGAAATTTTTCGGTTTCCAACTGTCAAGGGATCTTTAACTGTAGTAAGTGAAGGCCTGTACATATCGTATTGGCCTACTCTATTTAAATTCCTCAGGAAGTAGCAAACTATATGCTTTGATAACTTTCATCCGTGTTACAAGATTTATTAAATCAATTATAGCATGAATTGAATATTTTAAATCAATAACTTAAGACATATTGGAATGTTGCTGTGTTTCACAATATTGCTAATTGGCACAGAAAAATCACCCAAAACGGATGTGGATTTAAAACCAATCAGATTCAATCGCCACTGTAGACTTGGTTAATTTTAAAAATATCTAGCGATCAGTCATGGCCATCTTTCATCGAAGTCGTACATAGACAAAAAGGGACTGGATGATAGAGGCTACCTTTTTTCTTTCTATAATAACTTTCAAGAGCAATGATCAATGGCTTCCGTCCTTCCCCCTATAAATTCTTACTATTCATGATTCTTCTTAGTTTCCCCTGGAATCTTTTTTATGTCGAAGAATGTAGCCTGACTGAATAGACTGATTTATACAAGAACATCATCGGATCATGGTTGCTAAGTGTAGAAACCAGCAGAAAAAACCGGAAACAAAACAACAAGATCTATCTTTTAATCAGATTTATTTATGTTATTTCATTTCTGGAGGTCTCTAAAACTTATCTATTTCATTTACAATTCTTACGAGTGTTTACAACGAAAGAATTAAAAACGTGTTTTGAATACAAGTAAGAATAGATCAAGAATTTTTCTAGAAAACCACCCACATTTTTCTGGGACCTTGACAAGACCACAATAGCTAGTATTCTAATATTAAAATGGCCATTACAATATGGTATAGCTCATTTATTATAGCTTAGTGCAGAAAGGTAAACCACCATTACTGACACCCTGTAATCTCTATAGTACCAGTGTAGCTAGATCTATGTCAAGTCAACAACTAATGAGATATAGGTCTAGCTAACATTCGTAACTATTCATTTAATCTTTAAACACGATAAGAAAACACGCAGCTCTATTTTCGTAATATTTAAAACTATTTATGTAATTTGCTTGTACTACCTAATAACATTACATATTTGTACTACAAAATACTAAACATTTAATACAAAATACTAAACATTTAATACAAAATATCAAACATTTAATACAAAATATCAAACATTTAATACAAAATATTAAACATTTAATACAAAATATCAAACATTTAATACAAAATATCAAACATTTAATACAAAATATTAAACATTTAATACAAAATATCAAACATTTAATACAAAATATCAAACATTTAATACAAAATATTAAACATTTAATACAAAATATCAAACATTTAATACAAAATATCAAACATTTAATACAAAATATTAAACATTTAATACAAAATATCAAACATTTAATACAAAATATTAAACAGCCAGTTTCATGTTTCTTTACTAAGAAGTATACTAAAACTAAACATGTGGACCCTCCAAAAGAGACAAACCCTGTATCAGAAACATACAAAAAACAGCATGTTTCAGGTTCTCTTTTAATATTTATAAAAATAAAACTTAAAATATTATTAGGAGTTTGTGTATAAGAGATATCATAAAATACTTAGTTTTAGTAAAAGTGCAAGACATCCAATGTCTGAAATTGGAATGGTGAAAATAAATGCTATTATTGTCCCCGAATAAACATTGCCTTCATCCTTGAAATCCTTTTTATTCAATCTTATGTCATGCTTATGAGTTTCGCTCGTGTGCAACTTAATTTGACATTTAATTAATATTCATTATCTTTGGGTAGAAACTCTGCGAAAGTGATGTTGAGTTGACGGGTAAGCATGCCTAGCCTTGATGACTCCACCTACCATAAACAAATCTTATTCAAATTTCATGGGTTTTTTTACAGTCTATGTGACTGTTTTTACGGTTGCTTGACAATTAATGGTTATTTTTCAATTAAATAAATAATTTATCATCTTCACATTTTCATCGATTAGTTTTTCTTACATCAAGTGCTTAACCTTCAATTTTTATTGTCTTTCCTAACCTTAATCTACTTTTAGGTTACTTTTCATCCTTTTATGAACCAAAAACAACATTTTTATGAATCAATGTGTCAGAATTTGGGTGCAAAAAACTGTAAATGACAATGATGGTTTAGTGAAAAAATAAAGAAGAACATTTGAGAGGTGTGTTTTGATGGCCTTCACTAACTTAGTATGTGTTCTTTCAAAATCACTCAAGTGAAGTTTTGTTTAGGATTATTTGTTGTTGAATAACCCTTCAAAATCACTCAAGTGAAAGATTTTTAGAATTGTTGTTATTTAACTTATCTGTTAAAACAATCTGAACAAATTTCTATTTGCCATCCATGATCCAACAAAATATTTATGCAACACATGTTCTAGATTTAATCAAATATTCAACCAAAAAAAAAAAAAGATTTGATGACTACATGTTTATCATTCTAGAATATTCTTTATTCATGTCAATTTTTTAACCACTTTTTTGGTTCATGAAAATTGTGTTAGAAAAATAAAAAAATTAAAAATTGTAATAATGACGACACACTAACTCTTTCTAGCATATTAATAGGAAATAATTATCATCTACGTACCTTGTGGGCATTTCGACGAAAAAAAGCTTTACATGATTCACATGATATGGCATTGAAATTATATCCTAAGGCACGATCTCCACAAACCAGACATATTTTGTCTTTTTTTGATGGCGTCATTGATGTCACCATAGAATCAGACATAGTACAGGTAGAATCCTGAAAAGATAAATACAAACTGTGAGAAATATGTGAGAAGTACAAAATCGTATATACAAATTACCAAGTTGTATTAAAAAGGAATACAAATTTGTATGAGAATTACAAAATTGTATATGAAAACTACAAAATTGTTTGAGAAATACAAAAATGACACAAAATAGAAATTGTTTGAGAAATACAAACATGAAGTACAAAAAACTTAACAGAAATCAAAATTATGTATGAGCATACAAAATACAGAACCCCATAATGGACAAAGAAAAACAGAGAATTGTATTGTATTTACTGAGAAATACAAAACTGAATGATAAATACAAAAATGAATGAGAAATACAAAAATGAATGAGAAATACCACCTCTGTGTCACAAAAAATCAACATTTTGACTTGTATTAAAAATAATGACTAGTTAGCTGTTTTATCTCTTCTGCCTTCCACCACTTCAAATTAAAATGAGATTTTATTATCATTGTCATTATCTAACATTTTAAATATAGGTCAGTAGGTAGTCCAAAACTCAATATTTTATGTCTGTTTGCTAGCATTGGCCTTGGTCAGTAGTTGGATGGTAGTCTGAAACTTGCTGACTCTATATTTGACGTTTGATAGTTATTATTGACATGGGTCAGTCTGAAACTTGCTGACTCTATATTTGACGTTTGATAGTTATTATTGACATGGGTCAGTCTGAAACTTGCTGACTCTATATTTGACGTTTGATAGTTATTATTGACATGGGTCAGTCTGAAACTTGCTGACTCTATATTTGATGTCTGATAGTTATTATTGACATGGGTCAGTCTGAAACTTGCTGACTCTATATTTGACGTTTGATAGTTATTATTGACATGGGTCAGTCTGAAACTTGCTGACTCTAATAGTTATTATTAAAAGAAGTCAACCAAATTATGTAGTTAGCCCAGGGAGCATGAAATATACAATAAGGTTTATAAAACATGGAATATTCCCTACGGACATGATTAGAACATCAATTATAATCTTAAAAATGCTTAAAAGAATTGATATATGTTTTCAATATAGACATGTTTCTTTTTTAATAAATCTTGTTTTCTGCTGACATCCTCCTTTTAACCTCCATTTCCAAGACAATGTACTGTTATCTTAAATATCATCTATCATTAAAGATGGGTTCCCTTATTTTCATTTATGAAAATGAAAAATGCTAATAATTATATTAATAGAAAGTAGAGGTGTTCTAATGACTTGTAAAAATACCAGTTTGTCTCACATGTCCATAATTAATTCATAATTAGCTAAATTAGAAGAGAATTACCAGCAGAATTCCAATAAGTGGCTGATCAAGAAAGGTCAAAAAGTATTTGTTTGTTTATCCATACTGCACATTCATGGACATTTATGATTGGTTAAAATATATTATATGCAATAAGAACATAATGATATGATTAAGAATACATGATAATTCATTAGAAACACCAATTAATCAAATAGTTTGCTTAATTTAACACTAGAAGAATAAGGAAACCCATCTTTAATATCAACTATCTTTAACATCATTCATTCAAACCTGATACTTTCTAGGGAAATATAGAAGACATATAATAAACTATTCTATATTTGTCTTGTCTCTAGTGTTTTACTGATTTCTGTTTATTATGTTTTATCTTGTCTAATATCTTATTCATGTGGCATGTCCCCTTTTTTTATTCTACTTTCTATGCAATTTTTATCATGGGTTAGGAATATTTGCCGGACATGTCCATTTGTCTATCTTAAATGCTTGGTTAAAAATAGCCTCCATAGGACATCAAGAATTGGTTTGAGGCAGTAAACAATCAGGTCAAGTTTTAGTTCGACTATGTGTTGTTTTCTTAATTCACCGTTACATTTTGTAACCCGTCCGAAATCATATCGAGGGGATAGATTTCCTGAGAATTTCACCAAAGGCACTTATTGTTACTATTTTCAACGATCATATCTAATTAACATAAAGAATAATTTTTTTTTTATTTAAATTAGTTTTTTTTATGAATATGCAACAGTGCACGCAACATTTTAACAGCTGGTGGAAAATCTACTTTCAAATTCATTCAAAAATATGCTATAAAAATTATCAAAAAATCTGCACATATATCATTGTCATTAACACCATGCTCCTTATTAATTTAAATATATAGGGCCATGGTTCACTTTATCAATAAAATAAAATAGTTTATCTTATCCAAATAGCTTTCTGAAGTGTGCCAGAATATACTTTGATGTTGAAACTATCTTTTAAGATAATAAAATTACACATAAATTTGCAGTATATTAAATACACCTGTGCAACATTAAATAAAGTCAGTTATATATAAATAATTAATATCTATAGAATGTGCGATATTATCACTCAATATTTTTGGCATGGACTGGTGCCTATGATCTCGGTTGGGGAGATTTTTCAACGTTTAAACTTACAGTAGGGTAAGAAGAGGTGAACATCATATTGACTATTATACACTTTTTATGGTACTTCTCTCAGGAGGAGTCCACTACTATATGAACTTTTACTCTCTATATTGCCTGTACTTTGGACGAGATTTTGATTAACGGTATTGTCTTGCTCGTAACGATTTATATCTTTTTTCATTTCTATCATTCTTTAACTTGCAAGTGTGATAAATTAAATCTACTTAGAATAATCATATTGATGTAACAGATCTTATTAAGTAAGCGAATCAAAATGACTCCTTTTACGATCCTCTGATTAACCAAAATCATCATTAATCACGACGATCTGCTAATTAAATTATATATTTGAAGACTTACTACTGGAATATATTAAATTGTTACCTTAGTTTTTACGAAATGCTAATGAAAATTAAACTTGATTAGTCATACTGAAATTTGGTGAGATAAATTCTTAATTATATTTCTCAATGTAAACTGAACACTAAAATAGAGCTGTATTATATATGAATCAACTATAAAATAAGTTGAAACTATTAAAACTGATTTATAGAGGAAGGAAGGGGGAGGGGAACAGACTGACCGGACATTGCTTGTCTAGACAGGTCCATTAATTCATGTTTCACCTGTGACAATAATAATTATATTACAATATAATAATCACTAGCTAGTGACGGTAACAGCCTCTCCAGACTAGGTACAATTCAAGGTCAGATTGATTTAAGGCTGTGTTTAAAATGGGGCAACACCGAAGAATCGTTTTACCTGCAAACCTATTATGGAGTGCCTGAGACGGTTCTCGGAAGAAAATCACCACTAGCTAACACCGGCACCAGCTTCTCCAGATGGGGTACAAATAGAGGGCAGACATATTCAATTGGGGACAACTGCTGAGGCTGAATTCAAAATGCTGTAACACTGAGGAAGTGTTATTGTTGCAAGGCTCTCATTGAGCGTCTGGGAGGGTTCAAAATGTTAAAAAAAAATTGATTTAATTTGAAGCATTCTGACACATATTTTGGGGCATTAACTTCTAAAAAACATATTTTGAAATTTTTTGAGAATTAAGTGGGGTGCAACTTATTATCTTGTTCGTGTGAAGATGATCCTGCCCATGCATAAAATTCCTCCGATTTAATATCTTATTAAATGCTAAACTGTATTTCCCCTTGCAATACTTAGTAACTATGTGCTTTCCAGTGCCATATTTGCATAAATTTGCATAAATTTGCATATATTTGCATACATTTGTATACATATTGTAAGTAAAAGTAGTATATAAGTAAATGTTATTATCATACTAATCAGAAGCCATATAATTTATTCATAATAATGGTTATACCATAGCCTTTCATAATTAGAATTGTGATAAAAAATATTTACAATATTGTTGGTGAACGCCTGAAACCTCGTATATGCCATATTAGGTCATTTTGACATTTTGGTACCGTTCGAAAGCTAAAAGTGCAGATCTTGTGATCAAAACCTCGTATTCTTAGCTTGATTGTAAATAACTCAAAAAGCACTAATTAAATAACACGTATTAAAAACCTTGTAAAATATATTATTATACTAGGTTCAATGTTCCTTTTTCTGCCAAGAATTCAAATTGTTATACAAGGTTTATATTTTCAGAGAATGAGAGCCACATATAGCGGTAAAAATAATAAAAAAGATTTTAACAAAATACGCGTACGAATAGTTTTTTGCGTTTTTCTCGAAAAGTAATTTTGCATCATTTATAGTTATACGAGGTTTCAAGCGGTCACCCATGATATGAAATCTAACATAACAACTTTTTAAAAATAAATCATATAAATATCTTTGTGAAATTCTGAGTAACAACATGTTTTTTTTAGGTTCTGTTTTAATATTACCATTTTCTATTTATGTTTTGATGATAGTTTGTAATTGAATTATTAAATATTTTCAAATGTAACCAACTTTCATTAGCTGTTTCCTTTTTGTTAAAACTATTATAAAACCAGGCTGACTCTCGAAAGCACTGGCACAAGCATCAGAATTTTTTTTTATCTTGAGGAGGATTCAAATCCATGGAACCTAATTGCCTTGTGTTGGGGTGTTAGATGGTGATGAGATCATAAGCCCTTTTTATATTAGAACACTACAACGTGCTGATATACTTCCATATGAAAAGTTCATAAGGTGCTCCCGATGTTTCGCAAAAAATATGTTGGATTTCAGTTTTCGTTTTGCAGTTCAGATCGTTAGTATGTGGTACATTTAACCCACGCAACCAACAGGACAATAAAAGATAGTGGACCACAGCCATATACGCCCACCACTGCATGCGGATGGTAAATATTCAAGATTTTGGGGCAAGGGCAAAAACTCTGCTTCTAACGATCGAAAATAGCTCAAATTCGAACCTGATCTTTGTTTTATGAATATGTATACACATACCGAATTTCATTTGATTCCATCAAAAAATGTAGTTTTTAGAGCGTTTACAATCAAATGTTGACAGACGGACAGGGGTGCCGACAATATACGTCCACATAGAGAGAAGTG